AATCCAAAACCACAACAACAATAAATATGTATTTAAGCACAACAAATTGCCAACTAAAAAGTCAAAGCGATAAATAAGACTGCAACTACTGCATTTTAAAATATCAAAAAAAAAAAAACACTAATATAACATCATCAACAAATTGAAGGGAGATGCGGGGTATATTATTTTGCTAATTGTTAAGTTTAAATACATTAGGGCCTTTTTCAAACAATCCCTATTGAATATTGAAACAATCCACATTGAATATTTATATAAATTTTATATCTTCAAGATGTCTATAAATATAGGTGCCCTTCTACTGAAATTGACACTCTTCATGTGATTAGAAAAAAACTCTTCCAGTGTATTTAAAATATTCCACCTTTGATATTCTACAAGACTCTTCAAATATTCCTTGCCTTCAAATTGTCTGCCTATACGAAAACGCCTCCCAGACAGCCTTAAATCTGCAAAGACAACCAGAGTAATATGTCTCCCATTAAGACTAGGTGGTACTTAAATCGTTTAAATATACTTTGTTGATAAATTTGTTGATATAATTCGAATCTATACTAATTAAAGAATGTCCCTACAAAATTTCAAATGAAAATCCCAAGAACTCTTGAAGATATAGCCGATTTATTGTGTCAGCATCAAGTGACGGCTGAAGGGCTTCCCAAACTTTTAACGCGTTTTTCTCTAAACATTTTTTTGCGAATGACGGGCACGATAAATCAAAAACTAATAACCCAATCGATTTCAAATTTTTACACGTTTCTCTGTGAGTGTATAGCTACCGTATGAACTAGGATAAAGCCAATCGGTGAAGATCTTCCTTAATTTTTAACTTGGGTTTTGGTAAAAAATAGGTGATTTTCCAAAATATTTTTTCAAAAGTCCACCATTTTGTTAATTTTAGAGCGAAGTCAATAATCCTAGTTCATACGAGGGCCAGACATGTACTCATTCTAACACCGTTGGAATTTTCGGATTCCGATGTTCCAGTGAGGAGTTGTCATGCACGCCATCAAAAATAAGGACTTTTCTTTAATTACAAAAAACAATAACAAACATTTTTTGTAAATTATTTTTCATCTATTTTAAATCTTCAATTATATATGTGTAAAGTTACAAACCTAAAAAGCATTGGTATTGAATTACCAGCCCATTGGAAATCTTGAAAAGTAAAAATCGAGAATGGAGGGGGGGGGGGGGGGTCCCTTAAGGCCCCCTATAAACATTCTTTGCCTTCAACTCATCTATACAGGCTGCCTGCTTCAGATTGCCTAGAAATACCCCTTAAAAATGTTGATACTATACTCAGTTCATTATTAAAGGTTCCCTTTAGTTCGTCTATAGTGGCGAATTTCATTAGCTCGTGTGTTGTAGAAACTCCACCAGCTTCAGCTCGTCTATAGTAAAGACTCCTTCAGCTCGTCTATAGTAGAGACTCTCTTCAGCTCGTCTATAGTAGAGACTACCTTCAGCTCGTCTATAGTAGAGACTCCCTTCAGCTCGTCTATAGTAGAGACTCCCTTCAGCTCGTCTATAGTAGAGACTCCCTTCAGCTCGTCTATAGTATAGACTCCCTTCAGCTCGTCTATAGTATAGACTCCCTTCAGCTCGTCTATAGTATAGACTCCCTTCAGCTCGTCTATAGTATAGACTCCCTTCAGCTCGTCTATAGTATAGACTCCCTTCAGCTCGTCTATAGTATAGACTCCCTTCAGCTCGTCTATAGTATATACTCCCTTCAGCTCGTCTATAGTATATACTCCCTTCAGCTCGTCTATAGTATAGACTCCCTTCAGCTCTTCTATAGCAGAGACTCCCTTCAGCTCGTCTATAGCAGAGACTCCCTTCAGCTCGTCTATAGCAGAGACTCCCTTCAGCTCGTCTATAGCAGAGACTCCCTTCAGCTCGTCTATAGCAGAGACTCCCTTCAGCTCGTCTATAGCAGAGACTCCCTTCAGCTCGTCTATAGCAGAGACTCCCTTCAGCTCATCTATAGCAGAGACTTCCTTCAGCTCGTCTATAGCAGAGACTACTTTCAGCTCGTCTATAGTAGAGACTCACTTTAGCTCGTCTATAGCAGAGACTCTCTTCAGCTCGTCTATAGTAGAAACTCCCTTCAGCTCGTCTATAGCAGAGACTCTCTTCAGCTCGTCTATAGTAGAAACTCCCTTCAGCTCGTCTACAGTAGAGGCTCCCTTCAGCTCATCTATAGTAGAGACTCCCTTCAGGTCATCTATAGTCAGCTCGTCTATCGCAAAGACTACATTCAGTAGAAACTTCATTTTGCTCGTCTATATGAAGCTCTTTGCTCTTCAGCTCTTCTGTAGTAGAGACTCCCTTCAGCTCGTCCATCGCAAAGACACCATTCAGCTTGTCTATGGTCCGTCCGTCCGTCCATGTATTTTTGTGAATAAAGTACAGGACGCATTTATGATCCGATTTGGATGAAATTAAGTGTGACATGTACCAACATGTCACTTATTTGGCCCAAGGACGAAGCCTATTGAAATTGGAGGAAACCGGTTCATATAAAGATATAGCTCCCATATATAGTTTCGTCCGATTTTTTGCAAATGCTGCACTAAACTTCTAATATTTGTCCGATTGACACAGAATTTTGCACAGAGTAGTGAATTAGGTCTAGATAAATACATGCCAAGTTTCGTTGAAATCGGTTCATATTTAGAAATAGCTCCCATATATAATTTCGTCCGATTTTATGTAAATGGAGCACCATACTGCCAATATTTGCCCGATTGAGACAAAATTTTACACAGAGTATTGAATTAGGCCCAGATTGATGTATGCGAAGTTTTTTTTTGAAATCAGTTCAGTCTTAGATATAGCTCCCATATATAGTTACGTCCGATTTTAGGTAAATGGTGCACCAAACTTCCAATATTTGTCCGATTGAAGGCCTTTTGAATTAGGTAAAAATTTATGTATGCGAAGTTTTGTTGAATTCCGCTTTATTTTAGATATATATCCCCGTTCGTTTGTTTTTCCTACTGGTTTATATTTTCGTCAGCCGTTTTTGGTGGTGAATTCTCAGTTATGCGCACACCTATTCCCTCTCAATTTTGTTCTGCACATCATCTATATGGACTCTCAATTTTTATATAAGATCGTCTATGAAGTCTCCCCTCAGCATATTTGTAAAGATTTTCATCATCTGACCCCCTCAGCTCTTTCTCAGAATACCCTCAACTTGCCTATAGCCCGCCTAATATATTTATTTATGTATTTTTCTTAATGTTATTTATTGTTAATAATATTTTCTTCTTCTTCCTCTATTTTTTTGTAGGTAAGTTAATTGATGAAGGATTGTCCGGAAGGAAGTACCTCGGAAGTGGCAAATGTTTTTTATTGAATGACAAAGAACGTGTAAGGCCTAGCATAGAAGAAAATAAAAACTATCATTGCATGAATCTAAGATGGGTTGTCAAAGTCGTCTTTGAGACAAAGAACTGAATGACTTACCGGTTGCCTGAATGGTTGGGAGGCGGTGTGAGTGTATAACACTTCATTTTCAACAACAACAAAAACAACAACATCAATTTTTTTTAAAGAAACCAGCTATAGTTAAAACAATGGCTTAGTGTGGCCAAGTTGGCTGGCTGCAATAATAACAAAAACAACAACCAACCAACTACTGCATGAAAACACTAAGGCAGAATAGCAGCGGTAACAACAATAACAATGACGACCACGAAATACAAAAAAAAAAAAAAAATAAACAAAAAATACCTTATTTTTTGTGTATAATTTTTGTTAATACTTGAGCCGGCATTGATCGAAGAGCCAAGTTAGTTTAAGCGCAGCCGCATAGGAGTGTGCACGCGAAAATCCAACAGCCCCGTCTGAAAAAAAGAAATAAAATAAAAAAAATATATACAAATATCAACAACTACAACAAATTTGAAACAAAATAAAAGTGTAATAAAAATTATTAAAAATGGTTTTCTAAATATATTTAAAAATATTTTTTTCATTAAAAATTTTTTAATTCTCAAAATTTCGGTTTTTGTTGTTACTTTAATTGGCATCTGTGTTTTGGTTACATGTGAACAAAGCAAACCAGTCAAGAAATTCACAACAATTGCAATATTCAAAACAAGCTTGATTGGCTGAGAAGAAAAATCTTTAGTAAAAATATACAACAAAAAGCATTAATCAATAATAATAACAACAACAACAAAAGTTGCAAAACCGCCCAAAATTTATATAACTGTTCTCATCTTAATTTAATTTCAATTAAATGGCCTAAATGTTTGGAAAAAATAATACAAATTTTGAAATCATAAAAATAATATTTATTGGCAAACAATAAAAATCTTAAAAATTCTGTAAAATATTTTGAAAAATATCAAAATTATTTTGATTTTTTTATATATATTAAATTTTTAAATTATAGTAAAAAATTATTGCAAAATTTTGTGTTTCATTGAAGCTATTTACCGCCGTGTAATGTGAATCATAAACAAAAATCAACAAAACAAAAAACATATACCCCCAAAATAAAAATAAAACATTACTACGTTTATATTACAACAAAGTGCCCTTGAAAACCGAAAGTGTCTTAATTTTGTGTTACCCCATTTCTGTTTGTTGTTGTTATTTTTGTTTTCTACGTTTTGCCGGCTTATCTGTTTAGCTATTCAACAACTTGACATAATTTTTTTTGGGTTGATGTGAAGTTTTGTTGTCTTTGTTTTTTACAAACCAGTGCTGCTGTTGTTGTTGTCGTCGCCGTCAACAGTTTGATGTGAAATTTTGTCACAAAGTAATTGGGTTTTTATGCTGGAAGCCTAAACACACAAGCAAACCAAACTAACAAAAAATACAAAAACAAAAAGAAACCTCAACAAAAAAAATTCAAGTTTGCAAGTCAACCTGCACTACCCCACAATCGTAGTCAACCAACACAACAAAACAAAAAATTTTCATCATTGTCGAAAAAAAAAATCTCCAAACGTAAAAATAATCACATCTCTATCATCATGGAATCCCCCAAACAAAATCAACGTCAGAGACAGGTAAAAAATAGTTTTTAATTTTTTTTTCTTATAAAAACACACTCTCACATCGGCACCACATCTTTGTCAAATAAAGATTCCCTAGGTTTTTATGTATTGCACAAGTCAGTAATGTTATAAAATATGTAGTCCAAATGGGAGGCAGGGATACTAGCTCCTCTGCTTTAATATAGTTTAAAACCAGTGAGAGGAGCAGTATAGTCGGTCGGGGCCGACCGTATGATACCCTACACAACTTCCACGAATATCTAACTTTGCGTTATTTTCACCCTCTTATCACCCGACTAAAGGTCAACAAATATTACTAATATTAAGTAGACGAGGGCTGTACTTGTCCAGATTCTCTTTACCGATGTTGGGCTTTCAATTGTAGCCTATAGATCGAATAAAAAACACAAAACTTCCACTTCATCCCAAAATTATTATCTGATCATCACCTAAAATGATAGGCGTTGTCCCTGACCATAATTGGAATCTCATTTCAATGCGTTCAGCGCTATATTTCTGCCCTCTAGTTTGGTAATGGGTTACTAAATAATGTCTGAATACGTAAGCACCTGTAAATATTTAAGTGTAACTCCCACATCTGAGTACATACGACCATATAAATGGTATCAATTTAAAGGTCAACCACTCCCCTTGAATATACTATCTAGGTCTAGGTCCTTCAGGGACAAATATATACGCCATAGAATACAAATTTTGCCATTTTTCACACAAAAGTCAGGGCCCATTTGACCCGCTAAATATTGACCGATCATTATCAAAACAGGCATGCTTATTCTTTGGCCCGATTCCCTTCTCCATGCAAAAATACGCCGTTGTTGGGCCATAATTATGGCCTCTGGAGCGACCAGAAAAACCGACAAAAATAAAGTTTTTGGTCCATTTCATCCCCTAAATATTAACCGATTTTTTCCAAAAACAATAGGGGTCGTCATTGGCCAGAACCCATCCTACATGCAAAATTTCGTGATGATTGGTCCATAACTGTGGCCTGTATCGTGTTTACAAATTATAATGGACAGACGGACGGACGGACACACATGTCTAGGTCGACTCAGCTTGTCGAGATATGACGATCGGTATACTTAAAGGTGGGTCTAGGACCAATATTTCGCTGCGTTACAAACTTTTGGGGCTGCACAAAGCTATAATACCCTGACAACATAGTTGTGTAGGGTATAATGATATTCTTCAATTATTTAAACATGATCGAATGCAGAGACTTCCTTCAGGTCGTCTATAAAGTATTTCCTCCATAAATAATCCCCATAAAAGAGTTCCTATTTATATAAAAAATCCCACCAGATTGTCAAAAAGACCTTCCTCAGCTTGCCTTAAGAGACTCCCTTCAGTATAGAGACTAACTTCAGTTCGTCTATAAAGACTAACCTACTAAGCCTTTTATAAGGACTCCTCGTCTCTCTATAGTGAATTGTCGTCTATAAAAACCGCCTTCAGCTCGTCTATAGAGACTCCCATCAGCTCGACAACTTGTCCATACAGACTCCCTTGAGTTCGTCTACACGATCATCTCTTAAGCTCGTCTATAGAGACACCCTTCAGCTTTTCTATAGGAACTCGCTTCCTTCAGCTCCTCTATAATTGTCTACTCCCTACCCACGTCTATAGATACTCCCTTCAATTTATCTATAGAGTCTCCCTTCAACTATCTATCAAGACTCATTTAAAGTGGTCTACAGATTGTCCCTTAAGCTTTTCAGTTCATCTAAATAAACTCATTTCTATTTGTCTATAGAGACTCCCTTGTCTATAGAGACTCGCCCTTCAGCTCGTCTATAGAGACTCGCCCTTCAGCTCGTCTATAGAGACTCGCCCTTCAGCTCGTCTATAGAGACTCGCCCTTCAGCTCGTCTATAGAGACTCGCCCTTCAGCTCGTCTATAGAGACTCGCCCTTCAGCTCGTCTATAGAGACTCGCCCTTCAGCTCGTCTATAGAGACTCGCCCTTCAGCTCGTCTATAGAGACTCGCCCTTCAGCTCGTCTATAGAGACTCGCCCTTCAGCTCGTCTATAGAGACTCGCCCTTCAGCTCGTCTATAGAGACTCGCCCTTCAGCTCGTCTATAGAGACTCGCCCTTCAGCTCGTCTATAGAGACTCGCCCTTCAGCTCGTCTATAGAGACTCGCCCTCGTCTATAGAGACTCGCCCTTCAGCTCGTCTATAGAGACTCGCCCTTCAGCTCGTCTATAGAGACTCGCCCTTCAGCTCGTCTATAGAGACTCGCCCTTCAGCTCGTCTATAGAGACTCGCCCTTCAGCTCGTCTATAGAGAGACTCGCCCTTCAGCTCGTCTATAGAGAGACTCGCCCTTCAGCTCGTCTATAGAGAGACTCGCCCTTCAGCTCGTCTATAGAGAGACTCGCCCTTCAGCTCGTCTATAGAGAGACTCGCCCTTCAGCTCGTCTATAGAGAGACTCCCTTCAGCTCGTCTATAGAGAGACTCCCTTCAGCTCGTCTATAGAGAGACTCCCTTCAGCTCGTCTATAGAGACACCCTTCAGCCCTCCGATAAAGGCTCCTTTCTGTTCGTCTATTGAGACAACCTTCAAATCCTCTACAGAGACTTCATTCAGCTCGTCTATTGAGATTCTCTTTAGACTATTTTAAGACTCTCCTTTAGTCTTTCAGTTATTTCACTCCTTTAGTCGTCTATACAACCATTCTTTAAAATGTCCCTGGTGGTAACTTTTAGAGAATTTCTTTAAGTTATTTCATATAGAGTCCACAGCCACCACGTCCTTATTCCTTGGCTGCGTCATTCTTATGTGGATCCTTAAAATGTTCGAAAATCTAAAGAAACCCCAACTTCTGAGCATGTTTCAAATTGTTATTTTTCATATAAGTAGTTTTTTAAAGCTAGTGATATTTACACCCTGCACAACTACGCCTCTGCCCATTACACATCAGTTTTTTCTTTTCTCTTCACACATTTATTTTGTGTAGTTATATTTTTTTTATTTTTAATTTGTTTATTTTAAAAATTAGTTTAACCCTGAAAAATTGCCTGCTGTCAAATGCAACGTTGCGTTAAATATCGTAATTTTTCAAAATTTATTTAACTAAATGTGAAAAATAGTACATTATAAGTATATTAACATAATTTTTCAAGTTTATGATAATATTTACAAAAAATATATATAAACAAAATTTAGGATTTTTGCAAAAAAAAAAAAAATTAGAAATAGGCGCAGATAAACCGTCCTTAAATACTTTTGAGATAGAGAAATATATTCAGACGTCTTCTTAATAATCTTTCATAAGAAAACTGTGGATGGCTAGGGTTCTCTTCGGAAGACCTCTTAAGGACTTTTAACATTTAGAATTACTAGATATTATATTATTATTTAAATGTGATTTTAGGTATTAGGATATTCATATATCGAATACTTTATCCTTATTCTAGAAACTTCTATGCATAGGACTTTTTTCAGATTTTCTGTAGGAAATGTCTGAAAGGCCTTCTCTCCAAACATCAAAATTGCCTTCACTGCGGTCTTCATTGGAGAATATTTTGTTATTTTCTACAAAGAAGACTTTAACAAACTTTATGGAAAATTTCGTTATTCATTTAGTTCGACTCATAAAACAACTAACAAATCATTGAAAAATAATTCTTTAAAAAAATACTTTTAAACAAATTCATTATTTCATGCAATAACAACCAAAGAAGTCTAATAGTTATTTACCTCTACCTCTTCTAAGTCATCTTCTTCACTTCTTCATGGATTTACCAATCATTAATCAACTTAAAATTTAATATTTTTTTTCATTTCACAAAAAGAAAAAAAACATAATTACCACGTGCAGCTTTGCATGTGTGTGCGTGTGTGTATGTTTCGCTGTTTATTAACCAATAAACAAGAACATTTGTTTGTGATCACGTAATAACTAAAATTTCAAATACAAAAACAAAAAAACATTATTTTTAATATTTCTTCATGTTGATTGTTAGTATTTCTTCTTTAAAAAAATTAATCATATTTTATAGACTTTTGAAATAAGTTTTTGTGTGTGAGTGTGTGTTTTTTTTGTCACGTACATTGATTGTTTCTCTTGTTTCAATTCAATTCATAATAATTTATTAAACAGTTCACATGTAATAATTATTATGAAACTTTAAGGTTCTTTGTTAAAGAATATTTAGATGGGGTTTTAACGTTTGGAGCTGGAGGTTTTTATGTTCCACATTTGAAAATAAAAATTACAGCACGTGACTAAGTGAAAAAAATAGGAAAAACAGCTGCAAGAATAATACAAAAAATAACAGTGAGAGGAACAATAAACCGAGTTTGTATCTTAAGTCTTTTGTTTGCAGTATACAAATGATTAAAAGCGCCGAGTTAAATGCAGCGAATTTAACGAAAAGCGATTTTTATTTTAGTTTTAGTAATCAAACAAATCCGAAATTGATGGACTTGTAAAAAAAAATTAAATCCACGTCTTTTGTAGGATTAAAGTAAATTAATTCTGTGGGCTCAAAAAATTTGAAAAATATCTTTATAAAACTATTTTTAAAATCTTAATTCTGATTGCCCTGGAATTGAAAAAATACATAATTATTAATTTTGATTACATAAAAAATCTAGCTCGTCTATGGAGACTCCTATCAGCTTGACAGCTTGACTATACAGACTCCTTTGAATTTGTCTACAGAGCATCTCTGCAGTTCGTCTATAGAGACAACCCTCAGCTCGTCTATAAGAACTCCCTTCCATCAAAAAAATATTTTTCCTTAAAAAATATTTTTTTTAATTTCAAAATTCGATACTGTTGGCCTTCTTAAAAAATATTATTTTTCTGCATTTTGCATGCTCATGGTATAGCATATCTCCGTACCAAAAATTATTAATATTGACCCAAGTGTTAGGTTAGCCCCCATTGTGTAGCACATCTCCTTACTAAAAACCAGTAGGCGGAGCAGTATAGTCGGACGGGGCCGTCCATAAGATACCCTACACAACTTCCACAAAAATCTA